CAATGGCGACACCCCGGTTGCAGCGGTGGTACGTGGGCGCGGAGAGGACGGTTCCTTACTGGTGGAGGTAGACGGCATACCTCTTCGTGTCTTCGGCGAGGGGCTCGAGGCCGCCGCAGCAGTCTGCCCACCCAGTGGCGTTGGCAGTGGCACCAGGGGTATATCCAGCAGCAGCATCGGCGGCGGCGGCAGCAGCAGCAGCAGCAGCTGCGCCCCACCGCCGGCGTGGATGCTGTCCGCGGGGGATTTTTTCGTGGAGGCGCCCGACGACGCTGGGCCTGCCGTGAGCAGCGCCATTTCTGACCTCAACGCTCTCCTCGTGGAGGGCCCGTGCTCGCCAGACGTGGCCCTGAGGGCCCTGGGGAGGCTGCTGCGGCCTGCGGCCCAGGACGAGGATCAAGATGGTGAGGAGTTTGTGGATTTGGACACTGCCGAAGAGGCTCCGCAAGTCCACGAAGCATCCGTTCTGCCCTCTGCTGGCGACGACGCCGAGCTGGAAGGGGCCATGGGCCGGCTGGTCGCCGCCGTGTCAGCTGCTGCGACCGAGGCAGGACTCGACCTATCCGCCGGGTCGGCTGCCCTCATGCTGCGGCACTGCCGCTGGGACGATGCAGAGGTGCTTCGGCGGCTTCGGGCTGGCGCCCCCGAGTTGGCGGCCGCAGCGGGCGTGGCGGAGGGACCCCTCCCGGAGCCCAGCTGGGGCCGCGGGGCTGTGGGCACGCTCGCGGGCGGCGCCGCCCCAGTGGTGCGATGCGGCGTCTGCTTCGACGACGTGCCCACGCCGGCGGCGTTGTCCCTTCAATGCGGCCACCCTTTCTGCATGGACTGCTGGCAGCAGCAGCTCGCGGTCGTCGTGCGCGGCGGACCAGGCGGTGGCACTCGGCTGCTGGACGCCAGGTGTCCCACGCCAGGCTGTCGGGTGCTGCTGGGGCAGGAGATCTTCGATCGGCTGGGTACGCCTCAGCAGGCGGATATGTACCGGCGCGCACTGCTGCGATCCTTCCTGGAGGAGGGCGGGGCCGTGGTCGACTGCCCGGGCTGCTCTCGACGGGTGATCCTGGGGCCCGCCAGGCCGGACGCGGGGCCCTGCCGGCGGTGCAGCCGCCGGTTTTGCTCGCTGTGCTTCCAGGGCCCGCACGGGCCCACGACGTGCGCAGAGCGGCGCGTGTGGCAGAAGATGCTGGAGGGCGCGGGCCAGGGCACCCTCTCCAGGTGGGTGTCGAGGCTGACCAGCCTCCTGTCGCTCCACGAGGACGCCGTGGCGCGCCGGTGCCCGAACCCGTCGTGTGGCGTCATGAGCCAGAAGATCGAGGGGTGCCTCTTCTCGGGGGAGCGTAAGACCCGGGTTTGCCGGGACTCGGGTTCGCCATCGTTTTTTGACGACCGCGACTCGGATTTTGACGAGGAGGAGTTTTGTGGGATGTCTGCAGCGGGAGGCCTCGTCAAAATGCAGGCTCGGCCTCGTCTTTTTTTTGACGACCTCGTCGGGGATTTCCGAGTCCCCCGTACCCGGGTCTTACGTCTCCCCGATCTTCCTGCTCTGCCCTCGCTGCAGGGAGATGTGGTGCTGGAGCTGCGGGGACTGGGGCGGGGGGCCGTCTGGGCGGCCCCGGCCCCACCACGTCTTCGTCTGCCACCAGCTGCCGAAGGACATCACCACCCACCAAACCACCCCAACCCAACCCGAAGGCCCCAATTTACCTTCGATTTCCAGTGGGGGGGGGTCGGGAAACATCGAAAAAACACATGTGGAACCCTTACCCCCCCCAACCCGAAATTCGGGTCTTCGGGTTGGGTTGGGGTGGTCTGGTAGGTAGTCAGGACATCACGTGGCTGGACGGGGACTCGTCCCTGCAGGAGGACGCCAAGTTCGAGTTCCACAGGGAGCTGTGGGAGGCTCGGCAGAAGGACCTCGAGGGAGCGAGGGCGCGGCCGCTGAGCGAGGGACTGGCCGCTTCGCTGGAGCACGAGGCCGAGTGCGAGCTCGGTGGCGCGGCCACCGAGGCCCGGGAGGTCCTTGTGCACGGCGCGGCCTGGAGGTTCTTCGAGAAGGACCCCGCAAAGCTGCGCCTCTTCGAGTTCGCGGAGAGCGACCTCGAGAAGCTGCTCGCGCAGGTCCCCCTCCCCCCGCCAGACTTGAGTCGGGCATGTCTCTCTGCAGGAGGAATCTCCCAAAACAGCCAAAACATCGTCAGGGGACGACTTTGTCTTGAGATTATCTTTGAGTAAGTACTCTCCCAAATCCGCCTGTAGGAGGACATGCCCGACCTAACGCCAGACCTTCCCGACTTCTTCGGCCCGGGCGCCGCCGCGGAGCGCGCCGCTGCGGCGGCGCGCCGCGCCCGGACCCTCGCCGCGGCGCTGCGCACGCAGGCGCACGCGCTGCGCAGCTACCGCCGCGGGGGCGCGGCGGCGGGGGCCGCCGACGGTGCGGCGCGGGGGGAGTGAACCGCGAGTGGCCGAGGAGGAGGAGGAGGAGGAGGAGGAGGAGGAGGAGGAG